TCCCCCCCCTCTCCCTCTCTCTTCTCATGCATGCACTAAACAATATACATATAAGGCTAAAAGCATGTTCAGATCTTATTTTTTTTTTCAATCTATTGATCTGTGATCACATATTATATAAAATAAATAGAGATTAATGAAAATTAAAAATTAAAAGATAAGGCACTACAGAGAAATTTGTGGAAAAAGTATGATAAACTAATGCTTTTATACCATTTATTTGATAAATATTAGCATCAGACCCGACAAGGAAGACTATTTTTCCAGTTTATGTAACAACATTAAATTTTATTTTTTTAGCTTTTGATAAAAGAAGAATGTGATTACTACTATTTGTGGCTAGGGACAATTTTTTTTTTACGAAGAAATCACATTTAGTCAGGGAAATAGGCGTGTGGCCATATTGTTCTTTTTATTTCCCATTAGTCTTTGAATATTAACACTTGATTTTTGGGGCTGACCGTGTTTGCTTGGAGAGAATCACTTAGAACGGTCCATGTAGTAGTGGCACAAACCCACAAACTGTATTTAGCCTACAGTTAATACCAGATATATTTTAATTAATATTTGCTTCCTATTGAATAACTAGCATACTTCTATTTGCTGATGATATGGATGATGCACTAAATTGTTTCTTCATAAATTATTCAGGTCCTTGGCAGGTGATGCTTAAACAAGCAGATGGTTCTTATGCTTGCATAGCAGAAAGTGCAACCCGCTTCAGCCTTGGTGAGGTAGTTTCATGATCTTAGCATCATTTGCTTATTAATTGTAAATAGTTAACCTTATTTGCTTATTAACTTGTAAGTAGTTTCATATTAATCCATTGACTGGTATAGGCTAAAGAGGAATTGTTGAGGGTCTTGGGACTTAAAGAAGAAGAGGGAAGTTCTCTAGAATTTCTTCGAAGAGGCTACAAGGTATTCTTTTAATCAGTTTCTGTTAATAATATGCGTGCTTGTGTCTCGTTTGTTAGTGTTCTTTTTTGTCCTTGGTAAATCTTGAATATTCCTGTGATCCTACTCTGCATCTATTGTGATGTCTCAGTCCTCCACAAGAACCAAAATACAGTTTCAATTCTTTGCAGTCTGTTCACAAAGTTGAGGCAGCATAGGTTTCCATGTGCCTTCAGATTTTGTTCTATTCCTCCTGTTGTATTTGTTTATATGAAAATAAAATTTAGGCTAAATTATATTTTTGAACCCTCTATTTATTTTTAAAATTCAATTTGGTCTCATTGTTTTTAAATGATCCAATTTGGTCCTCTGATTTTTAAAAAATGGAAGGATAACATTGAATATCATTTGAAAATTAGATGACCAAATTAAATCATTTAAAATGTTCAATTTGATCCCACTATTTTTAAAATGTTCAATTTAGTTCTCTAATTTTCAAAAAAATGTTAAATATTGTCCTTTTACCTAATTTTATTTATTAATGTCATCGGTATCAATTTGGATGGAAGAACAATATTGAACATTTTTAAAAAATTAAAGGACCAAATTGAACTTTTTAAAAATAATAGGACTAAATTGAATCTTAAAAATAAATAAAGGGGTTAAAAATATAATTTAGCCTAAAATTTAAGGGTAGACACATTTAACAAATTATTGTGGGTTTTGTTATTCTTTATTTTATTATTCCAACGGGCTTAATTAGTGGTTTTTTATTAACTATTTATACAAATGATCAGATTCTCATTATGTTTTGTTTAGCCATTGAGTTGACTCAATTTCCTGCTACAGTGGATTAATTATGAGATCTTAAATCTTATTTGGCCTGTCTCTAGTTCAGTTATAAATCTTTTGCCTGTATTGTGTGATATTACAGACAAGCACGTGGTGGGAAGAAGATTTTGATTCAGAAGCATCTTCTGCATGGCGGAGTTGAGTAGTACACTGTTAGAAGAGACTGTGTTTTGTTGCACCCGCATGTAGGTTGTCATTGAATGAGCTCACATACATTCCAGGAAGACATTTCCTGCAGAACTGCCCCTTTTTTTTAATATTCCTTAAGGTAATATTTCTCATTCTTCCCCTTTCAGTTTGAACCGGATGTTACACATGGCAAAGAAACGTGAGGACTTCGCAAGCTCCATCGTGGGCATCCACGTCCATGTCAATAGTTAGTGTGTACTAAAGTTTGAGATAATGCGTATCCCTGAGAGGAGAGGGCCATGCAACTATTTTGTGAAATCTAGCTGTATTCCTCGACTATGCAATCTGTATTGTGTCTGATTTACCCGTTGCATCACATGAATCACATTATCGTATTTTATTTGATGACTTAAGCTTTGTCTTGGGTTATACCGAATATGATTCGTGGTTGTGAGAAGTAATGCCCCATGCGCAGTATTTTTTTTATGGAAGAATTACAATAATGATGCTAATGACACAGGTTCAGACGCAAGACCTTCAGTATACTATAACAATTTCATTACTAGGCTGACTTTAGGAGTCAGGAAGAGTTTAATCATCTGCACTTCTTGTACACCTAATAATAATAAACATATTTTATGCTATGCAAGCCATTTTGAAATTTGTCCCAAAAAAATATTTTGAAATTTACAGACGTAACATATTTACACATTACAGTTATTACAAGCAAGCCAGCAAACGTATAAAAAAAGGGTGTGCAGATACATATTATATTTAAATTCAATATCTATAGAAATTCCAAAGACCTAGAATCATGTTCTAGGTCACCCCAACCAAAATTGTGACACCATATAAGCTAACACTGATTGTGATATGAGCTGACGAATATGTGTCTTGCAAGTGCAAATAGTATTCTACTGAAGGACACACAATACATGTTGCAATTTGTCCACAGAAAGAGGAGGATCAGTCTTCATCAAGACTAAGACTGCTGAAGTCAGGTTCTGGGGGCTTTTGTAGTTTGATCATGTCCCTGGAACCTGAACCACGGAGCCTATGATGACGAAGTGCATTAGCAGCAAAGCGAGAAGCGTAGACGGTTGTACCAAGTCCAAGGCTAGAAGCAGCAAAAGAAGAATTAGAATGCTTGACCAAGGCCCTGGTTGAATCATCACCGTTTTCATTATCAGAATCATATAACTCTTCTTCCTCCCTCCGGCGCTGTTCTGCAATCTTTCTCCTGCAATGGCGCCTCCAAGCAGCTTGAATGTAGATAGCAGCCCACGTCCTCCATTGCTGCGAATAGAAACGGAATGTGTGCTGAACCTGTCTACTGTGAATGTGCCTAAACTGTGAAGCAACAAACTTCAACTCCTCTGCTTCCAAAGCAAATGACTCCACCTCATTTATAGCCTTCACTGTCCTCGTTGATGATGGCAAGTTAGCAGCAGATTTGGGGTCCAATGCCCATGTTAGTAGCTCTTCTCCACAGAAGTCAGCTTCCTTCAGAAGACCTCTGTTGAAAAATCCACTCCTTCCACCATCTGTAGTGACACTCTCTAGACGCCCACGTATGATGAAGAGCATCTCATTCACTGGGTCCCCTTCCCTCACTATGTAAGTGCCCTCTGTATATAAAGTAGGCTTCAATCGCTCACATATAGCATCCAGCAAGCGTTCATCCATGTTTGCAAAGAGAGGAACCTGAATATATGTATGTTGTGATATACACGAGAAAATGAAGATTAATAAGTGGCAATGGCATTATGGCACTCAGCACTCACCCTTCTGACTAAATTCAAACAAAGATGGCGTTTGATATCTCTCCTGAGATCTTTCGGAAGACTCTGAACTAAGCTCTCCTCATCTACTCCACGGGTGTTCAGCCACTTGTATTGGTCATAGCGTCTCACTCTTTCCCTCAGCTCTTGAGGAAGCAAGCGATGATGCATCCACTGCTCAGAGTCACGTCTTTTGATCCTCATTTCCTCAAGACGAACTGACATTGATTGAAGGTAGGTCTGTCCAATTGCATGATAACTCAAACATTTAAACTATTGTAAATATGTGTTAAAAGTATTTCTCCATTTAGTGACAAGAAACTCGTAATGTTATATCATGTTAAAGCATGGTGATTGTTTGTCTTTGACCCATCCCTTAAACATGTCAAAGCTCATAACGTTAAGTGAACCGGCCCCTAAACTACAGCTCAGGCCATTTCAAATAGAAGAGAAGCAGAGAAAGATGGTGATGATAGTTGTGTTGATGACAAAGCGGCAGAGCTGTAAAACTAGATTTTTTTTCTTCATGAGTACAGAGAACACATGAATGTGATTCAATAATGTATTTAACCATCTCTTTTTTTCAAAGCATTTATTTTAGAAGTATATACAATTTTCTTATTTATGTAAAACAAAGTTGGGAACAGAAATTTCATACAGTGAATCCCAAGTCGCAAACTAGTTGATTGATTTGAGTTGGAATTAAGTAACACTCGCGCTTTGTCTTTGCCAAAATAACCAAAAAAACAAGTTACATAACTTGCATATTATCATCATTCAGGTCAATCATTCGTCTGGTAGTGACTCTGACTATTAAAGTTTTATATTAACCAAGACATCAATAATAACCATTGATAGATAAAATACCTACAGTTAAAGCTTTTTTTTTACCTGCATGTTCCCAATCAGAAGAGCAAAAAGGATAAGCCCCATAATAGCTATTACTATGGAAAACATAACCTCTCCAGGGTAGGTACTGGTTAGAAGCCCCTGACCAAGTGTACTGTGGAACGCAAAACAGAAGGTGCTTAGGCTTGTAAAACTTTGGAACGTAAAGCAATTTCAGTTATTGAAATGCACACGTGCTAGGTGCAAACAGTAATAACTAATTAAGAAATAAAAATAGAATTCTGCACCAACTTATCAAACATGTATAACAAATGCAATAGTTGGACATGTGAGGTTTAAGTGACAACATATCACTTTAAATAACACTGAATAAAGTTCATATTTAGAATTTATAGGAACAAAGTGTATTTGTTTACATGTTAGTTGGCAAAGAAGAGAAATACATGAAGCTAGCATCAAGTAAATGTTTAGATGATACATGTTAAATTAATTTATCAGATGGTGAAGAAGTCTTCTAAATCAATTGGTCTTGAGTCTTAATGACCCTATAATCACATCAAAATCAAACACAAGATAGTAGTGTGACCTGGTACTTGTCTATTCATGAAATTCAATTTTTATTTTTTTCAATTTTGAAGGTGTTAGACATGTAATCAGAACATAGCTTGCAGAATCCCTAACGGCTTAGTTTTTGGAGCTAATGGTTGCTAAACATCTTATACAACGAAAATTTAGACGCATATATTTTTGGAGAATCAGACAAGACAAGGAATATACCTCAAGTTTTGAAGGCCCCACCATAAACAGTAACAGAATTTAGGAAAAACTTCTATGGAAGCAACAATATCAGACTGTATAGCTTGAGAGAAGATTCCATAGTTAAATTCTGAGTTGTCATCCTCAACAAAGCATTTGGTTTTCAGAACAGTCTCGCTGACATTTCTCCAACTTTCATACCCTGACATATGCTTGTTCGAATTCCCACAGTACAAGAAATGTGTATTGCACCCGTCAACTTGTTTACAAGCATTCTTCCAGCAGGTGTCATTGCGTTCAATGGCTAGTAAGTACCAGACAGAGCCGGTTATCTGTGGCATCAGGGAAGAGTCAGAAGAATGCACTTATTACTACATAACTTTGTAAATTCTCTTCATACTTGTATTGGTTAGCCTGTATGGGAAAAGAACTGCAGAGGATCTAGTTTGCTATATCTAGGACTTCAAAGTCTTGCCACTTATCTTCTTAACCTTGTAAAATTTCTATACAACAAAACTTAGTGGCGTGCAAAAAAATTGAACTGAATCCACATTGTTTTGAGAAAAAATCCAAACTAAACCACATTGTAGAAACAGTTTGGTTAACTGAGTCATTTTTATAGAGTGGTTTGGTCTGATTTAGTTTAGTTCTTTGAAAAAAACCAATTCACATGAGTATAAAGTGGATATAAGAATTGCATCGCATTGATTCATTTTAAAAAAACCAAACCATTTTTAAAAAAATCGAACAAGTCTACTTTATAAAAAAAGTTTGATTAACTGAACAATTTTTATAGAATTATCCTGTACCAAAAAACCAACTTGTTTGGTTAACCAAACCATTCCACTTTTATAAAAAAAATGATTTGGTTACTTGAATTATTTTTATAAAATGTTTCGCTTTCCGACTGAACTAATCTATTTTATAAAAAGGGATTTAGTTAACAAAACTAATTTGTTTTTCCAGAAGACCAAACCATGAACAACCCTAACAAAACCCCATCAATAAGGAGAACTAGAAAAAGGATTGTTTTACAAGAAGCACTTACATGACTAGCAAGCATATACCAGATCAAATAGTACATGGCACTGAGCAATGCGTTTTCAGAGAAAACACCAGCTGTCTTTTTAACTTCTGAAGCTAAAGGTATAAAGCGTAGAAATCTTGGAAAATATTGAAGATTCACAATTCTCAACAATGCCGTTTTTGTGGCCAATACCTCTACACGTCCTGTTCTGTTGAGATATTTCCACACTACAATCTGCAGCAAACATGAAGACAACTGAACCTCATTTGCATAAAAACTTTCCAAATGTAACTTGAATCATAATTATCATCATTGACATTATGGGTCAAATTTAGTAGCCATTAACAATTGTTTAGGTTTCTTTCATGAATATCAGCAATGCAGGATATATTACTCTTACTGAAAGCTTCTTTTTCAAACCTGTGGCATAGGCAGCACAGAAATGAAGTCAACGATGAAGTAACGTTGTAAATATCTCTTGGCAATCTTTGCAGGATCTATAACAAGTTCACCTCGCCCAAATACTCGAGATGAAGGTGCAATGTAAGCAGTGCGGAATTGGAAACTTATGCGGACGAGATAAATGGCATCGCATATTGTTCTCAATGTGACAGTAAAACTTGCTAGCTTGTTATCTATGGCGAGGCAAAATGATTTGTGGTTGAAATAAGGCAGATAAAAAAAGAAGGGATCACAAGCTACAGAAAAAATGCATAGAATCTCAAAAAACTTATTCCAATACAGAAGGTTCTTATCTTGAGGGTCAAATACTTTTTTTTCTGACACTTTGAGATCTTCTGGGAATACTGCCCAAGTAGTGACTCCAGTTTTGAGTGATCTTCCGAATGTCTTTAGTCCATCTGAACTCTTCTTCACTCCAAGCCTAAAGGATTTCGATGCTCTTTTTCTTCCACGGCCAGGAAGAGGAATAGGTAGAGAATCTAAATTAAATCTTAGTTTTTTCATCCCACTGGAGCTAGATGGCAATGACAAATTTGAATCCAGATCATCCAACCTACATCATCCACTGTGTGTCAGATTCAG